TGCTGCAGTAGGCATACCACCGGAAGTGCCCTTATGTACCTTGCAAAGAGGTAAATGCCTTCGGCTGGTTAAAATGACCACCTACACTACAGACATCATTGAATTAAGAAGTAACTGCAGTAAGAAGTCAGTCTTCCAAAAAATGATCAGATTTTTCGCAAATTGAAAAGCTGATGTTTAAGCTTAACAATTACAAGAGGAACCTTAAAAAATTAACATTGGATTTCTTCAAGATTTGCTTTAACTGCAGCAAAAGTGTCTGTCTACTAAGTGTGAATAAGAAGAAACTTAGAGCATGGTAATTTATGCAGGCAGCTTAGAAATCAAAGTATTTTACTATGCTAGTTTGGTAAGTATTATTTATCTTTACTGAAATTCAGAGTCCCACCAGAACACCTGTATCTTCTTTTATGTGTTTTTAGATCTCTTCATTAACTTTTATGTAACAACCGGAAGTGGCATAATTCCCAAGAGATTATGATACTGATTTGTGTCATGTCCAAGAACTCATTTATTTTAATACACACAGAACCTTATTATTGCATTATTAAAACTGCACAACCAAATAAACCATAAGGAGATGCAAGAGTGTGAATGCTTTTGTGCACTATTAAAAAAAAAATCCAACAGTGCAAAAGATACTCACTGTTGTGTTCATGATTCCTGTTCCATGAGTTCGGATTGAATTAGCAATGTGTCGGATATTGATAGTGTTCAAGTGTTTGTTATTACTTGTTCTTTCAATGAAGATCTGGGAGGCAGGGGAGAAAATAGTTATTTACCCAAAACTGATTCTTTAATAAATTATCAATCCAGGTAGCCCATATCCTATTTCTAAGAGCAGCTAATAACTGGCAATTAGGGAAAGAACCAAGAAAATACAGCATGCATACAATAAACTTTATCTGGTAGGTTCTTCCGACTTCTGCACAGCAGCAGTTCAACAATTCCAAGGCAGGTGATGTACCCAAACTCTCATAGAGACTATATCCTACATTAAATTGCTCTAAACTATTTTGGCACCTCTTTGTACTTTTGGCCCCACTATGTAGCATGGCAGCGAGTTCCACTACTGAATTATGTGCTATGAGGAAAAAGTACTTCCTTTTCTTTAAGGAAGCCACTCATTTTCATAGTAGGCCCCTCACTCTCACATTGTGACAAACCACAAAGGGTTGTTCCCTGCACGTGTTCTCCATGTCATTCACTGCTTCATCTCTCTAATAATCCATATTCAGATACCCTTTTTTCAAGTTGAAAAAATCACGTACTTAGTATGTCCTTATACAGCAGCCAATTATCCTTGCTGCCTTCTCCAAGCTTCACTGGAACATTTGACATCGAGTGATCCTACTGGTACACTGTACTCAAAATACGCTCAGAGAACATTCTCTGAGACCTAATCTTAAAGCATCCCCAAAGATGTTTTTCTAGAGTAGCAATAGCTATTTTACAGCTTGTTATTATGTATAATAAAGCCTGGGTTTTTCTTACATGTATACTACTCTGCATTTCTTAACCCCTTCAAATCAGAGCCAAATCCAGGAAAAAGTATGGGATATACCTTACCTGATTATTCAGATTGTAGAGGTAGCGGGATACAAAAACATGAATATTTCTCATGATTTCCAAAACATCCAGACCCTGAAACAATATTATCTATTGAGAATTATTACAATAAAATTTCTCAAGGACTACTGACATGCCTAACCATGTCAGTAAGGTGCACAAATACTAGTTCTGTAGTTACTTGAAAGCATTTTAGAAAGCAATGTTTTCGCTTTGCAAAATGAAGAACCTCTTAACAATTTTGTTCAGTGTCTGTAACATAATGCTTAGAGGAGAAAAAACAAGCTCAGGTCACGTTTTAACATTTACACTTCTGCCTGATTTTTCCCAATTTCCCCTGAAAGTAAGGAATCCTCCAGTCTATTCCACAAACCCCAATTAAAAAAAAAAAAAAATATTGAGATTTGGCTATTCTCAGATTCCAGAAAATGGAATCTTGCCTTAGACATTTCTACAGACACATAGATTTCTACAGAGACATAAGCAACTAGCTGCTTCTTGATATTGTTTTGCCCAGCCTGTCTAGAAGACTGAAGTTTTGTATTTACAATGTAAGTTTTACAATTGTTTTACTTGAAGGCATCCCTTTAGTATCATTGTGCATAGAAAGGATGCTATTTAATCTATACACTCTATTTCCAGTTGTGGCAAGGATTTTATATCAGGATTTTTCTGGGGCTGGGGGGGAATGGAGTGTGGGGTGTCTTTGGTTTGAAGTAAAGCTCATACGAGAATGAATGTTATGGAACCAATGTTGTGAAATGATTTAATTCTTTGTAACGATGTGATGGCCAAATATTGCCAATAGAAAGCCAAAGCCAGAAACAGGAACTAATCCACAGAACTTTTGTACCAAGAAGCAACTAGAGTTCTTATTTCTATGCCCCCTTTCAACTTCGGAAGACATAGCCATCATGAACATTAGAAAAAAAAGAGGCTGTATTTCTAAGAGCTTTCACCAATGTGCTAACCAAAACGAGGGAACAAAGCTAACTGCCAAAAATATTCAAGATACTAACACTCTTGAAGGGAAATCTTCAGAAATACGCAAGTTGTATTTCTTTTGCACCGACCCTGTAACAGTGCATGCCTTCACCATTAACTTGGTGAAATTGCAACTTTACTCTGTATGTATGTAACCATGTTTAGCAGTTTCTAGGAGGCTGAGTCACTCTCCTATTAAGCTATGCTATTAAGCTAAGCACACATGTCCAGCCTGTGAAACTGTTTCTCTTGATGATCACTAAGCAGAACTTGCTGAGAAGAAAGCCATAAACCAGGGAAAAGACCAACCATTCAAAGGTCATTCCAGTCTTGCAATGGTTGTATTCCAGATGTACTGCTTGCCAAATTGCTGATATCAAATTTTCAAGAAAACATTCTCTGACTTTGTATACCAAATTTCATTTTATTAAATCTTATGTTAAAAAAAACCATGAATGATACAAGTCCAACATGAAATTAACTGATATTGGTGCTATCTCCAAATGTAGATAAAGATCCTGTCTCAGAAGTCAACCAGAAATTAAAGGTCACTTTTCCCAGACAGTTCTCTAATTTTCTGTACTTTCATTTTAACAACTCAGTCCTTTAAATAGGTAGCTAGTATGACAGTGTAATGGAACAAGTGATATTCATATTCACACCCTGTGGGCACTGTACCTGTTCCAGAGTCTGGCTGGGAAGATGTGCTTCAGTCATACTTAAACCATAGCGTTGAGTTGCTAGGTTTCTCATTTCACTGTAGGTGGCCCAATCATGAAGAGCTACAGTCGTTAAGTTGTAGAAGGTCTTGTCCAAATAGTGAGTTACATAAGCTGTAAACACATAAAAGGATGATCTAAAATAATACTACCTATTTAGTCAGGGAAGTGTGGAGAGATCTGAAAAGATATACTAAGCCAAAGCGTAGCACAGATGAAAGTAATGGAATCACAAAAATTCTTAACTCCTCACCTTTTATGTCAATGAACCGATTGAAAAAACGTATTGGGTTCAGGAAGAAGAAGTGAGCTAGATCCTTCATACCAACTCTGAAGGGGTTTCTGTCATCCAGCTTTAAGTGTGTATGAACTGATAAGCGCAGGTCCTTTTCTATCTCTTTACATAATTTGTCCAGTAAGTGCTATTCAGGGAAGTTAAAAAACAAGAAGTCATGTTCAGTGTCCGCTCACAATGCTCTGTTACCGGAACTAACCTCTCTCTCCAGAGATACATAAAAGACTGAGTAGACTAGTGAAGACAGCTTTGCTTTGGCAGGGCCACATAAGTCAAAGCAAATCAATACTTTGGAACCAGAGGGATGTTTAATCCCTGTGTTCTTGTTCTAGTACACAATAGCAAGAAAAAGCTGCAACAGCTCAGAAGAGGTAAAGGTTTAGCCACCTAATGCCATTCTGTACATGATTAAAACTTCTATGTGGGAGTTTAACACAATTTAAACTTAAGTATTCTCACTTCTCATTTTAAGGGGAACTTGGCTTAGAGCTATCTATCTAGATAATAATAAGACCTAACTCAGTGAGGAAGAGTCTTGCAATAAGCAATTTGGCCTGATTTTCTGCAGAATATGTAATGTTCAGTTTTGAATTAATCAAAAAGAGTGGTTCTGAGGTTAAAACCTAGGACTTAGGAAATCTGAATTCACATCTTCTCTCTGTCAACCATCCTTCATAATTCTAGACAGTAACTCACTAAAGAGGCCACCTATGTTTACAGCGTCTTCACTACTAAAGGCCATGCATACATACTAAGAACAGTAGTACTTATTTTAGGCATTCATACAAGCAGAAGCTCATCTGACAAAAAAGCTCATCTGACAAAAAACACTCCTCTGTTTGCACAGTCAAATCTGTAACTGAGGTTTTGCCAACTTACGTAATTTAGAGTGCAGTATTTTCATGTTCCCAGCCAACACAGACACCATTAACAACAGGTCTTAAAGAACCAAAATCATCAGTGAACACTTTATTTATTAAAATACTTCACACCAATCTCAAAGATCTCTGCTATTTTTATAGATCGTATTGGGTTTGGTACAATAGATGCTGGCCTATAAGACATTGCAAGCATAGTATCGCCTTTAATTCCCATGCACAACAAATTACCTCATTGAGCACTTCCATGATTTCTTTGTCATAGCATTCCAGAAGCACCTCATAAGATTCCAAGTGTCTTGCATGCATCATAGCAGGTACGCAGTCCCGTAGTGCACTAAACATATACTGAAAAAAGAAACTATTATGCTTCACCAAAAGGTTGACAGACATGTCAACAGCATCTCAAATAGTGTTCAAAGGTAACAAACAAATCAAAATGGCTACTCTTCCCACTTTTATTAAAAATAGACTTCATAAACCCTACTGAAGTTTCCTGTCCTTAATACATTCATCTGAAGTATTTAGTTGCTACTGATCTATTTACTGGAAGGTCATAACTATTAGCTATTTAATCTGACATTATTTGCAGTATAATAATTTTAAATTGACCATGGCATGCACAATACTGGACTAGATAATTGATTTTTATCGCAGTTAGTATGCAAAGCATGATTCAGTTCTGCAGCAAATACTTGATACTTCAAAGAAGGGAGGAGAGATAGGGAGTGGAAAAAGCTACAGGACAACTATCCCACACAGCATTGCTGAACACAGTGATATGTGTTTTAGAAATATGTAACCACAACATGGAACAGGTTTTTACTATTCAAGGCTAGCAAAAGGTGTTCATTTCAAATTAGAATGAATGAAGAACAAAGAGACACAAACACAGAGACACCCAGAGTTAACAACAGCAACCTGAGATTTTTAGAGCAATTTAACAGATACACTTTAATTAGATTTAGAACAAAGACTGCTTTTATATCCTCCAGATTGAGAAGAAATTTCTGCCTCAGTAGTAACTCTTGCCTTGGTTTTACTTTTTTTTTTTTTTGAGCTCTTTCCTTAAGAGTTTCAGTCTAAGCTTTATCCTCTCCTCCTCTGAATCCCTCCCACTACAGTGGCTTGTTAATCTAAGTTACTAACATTATTACTTACATGCAGTCTAGCGGAATCAACAGCGTTTTCATACACGTCATCTAAATAGATTGGAAAGACTGCTCGATGCCAGTATAAGAAACAACAGTCACATTGTACTCGAACTCTAGAATACAAGATTACTTATTAGACACAGAATTGGAAGAAAACATTCTTATAAACATAGTGATATTTATTTTAGTGTGTTTAAACTGAAGACAACTGCATTTCAAGCCTAAGCTTTACATGGTTACTTTAATGTTCCAGATGCATTGTCCTTCAAAAGAAAGTTCTTGAACAAAGAACTCTTCCCCGCCCCTTATTTTCCACTAGGGTATTTATCAAGAAAAGGTACCTGCTTTAGAAAAAAGGTTTACTCAGTTTCTGAAAGAATTAAACCTTACATTACAGCAAAATCCTAAATAATTATTTTCTTACTGCATGCAATTAGTAGCCTAGAAGTCAAACATATATTCTAAGTTTATTCCTGTAAGTCAAGAAAAAGGAACAGGCCTCTCCTGATACAACCTGTGTACACCACTCATCCCAGGAATTTTTCCCATGAGTCATCCACTGAAGGTGTTTGTCTCCCTCCATAAAGTATGTATGGAACCCAGATATTCACCTGGCTTTCAGATGGCCCGCATTATGGAAATTGAGTGCCCACTAAAACTACAGCAGCAGTAAAACATGGCGTCACATGTGAACTAACAGCCTGATCTCCCAAACAGACTGGTATTAACTCATAACTTTTGTGTTTGGGTTAAGAGGAAGACTTTAGCTTAACATAAAGCCTAGCCATCCAAGAAAGTGACAATTTCTAAACAGAGAAGTGGATTACCTAATCAGCAACAGTTAGGTAAAATATGACTTGCCCAAAGACCAGCAAGCTTCAGGCCTAGCTCTGGAACTCTTTCTGTCCATCCCTGGTCTACAACACATGCAAAAATCACCACCAGCATGCAGCTACCAGATCTTGCAATTCACACAGTGAAGATCCAGCTCCCCCAGTGACGCGACACTGCCTTCTATGTATCACATGCCATTGCTTACCGCTCTATAAGTTCACTGATCAAGTCTAGTTTTTTCAGAACTAACTGAAGGGGAATGAGTTCTTCATCTTTAAAAGTTTTCTGTGAGGAAAAAAAAAAGATTATATTTCTTTATAAGATACTACACCAAACAAGTAAAGGTCTGGAACAATCATGGCACTTACCATCTGCGTTCCCACACTCAGTGCAAGGGAAACAATTAGTCGCCTCTGTTTTGTACTTGGCCCATTGAGGATGTTCTCAGCCAACACCAAAGCAGAGAGGACATCCAGGCGTTGCTCACTGTACTTTTTATCGGAAATGACTCTTTTCTTGATGACAGAAAGACACAGAAATTCAGAGAAAAGTTACCCAAGCCCAAAAGCAATAGCTTACCTCTTCTTTCCAAAGCTTATGGACTTGTCATAAATTGAGTATTTCTGCAAACAAATTATGTTTTGTGAACAGAGCTAGCCAAATCCAGGCTCACTCTGTCAATTCAGTGGTATTACCTATCTATACACTTGGAATATGTGCAGTTCAGCACAAACATGCGTCAGGTATACAAATACTGTGCAAGCTGCATGTGTCTGTATGCCAATTTTAGTTCTAAGGTACATGTAATTTAAAATTTTGTAATCATTGTTTAATCAGTGACTCCCTGTTGTTGGTAACAAAGTCCAGTTTACAGCCAAAGAGCCAGAAGACATATAAACATGGTAATAATGACGACTTGCAATTTTCTACAAATTCTAATTTATCAGAATTACGTTAAGAGCAAAAACATTTGTATGAACAAATGAAGAAACCAAGTCTTCTGGCTAAAAAGTTGAAGTCACAGATGTATTTGAGTAGCAGTGTAGCTTGGAAGAGGTACAGTTTCATGAAAGAGTTAAAGAAAACCTCTTCCAATTCTAAGAAAGTATGTTCAACATGAAGCTCCTAACCTTACATGCTAAAGCTATGTTAGGTATATGCCTTAGACCTTACACTACTTTGTTTCTAAGTGGAGCAGGCAAAAAAAAGATTAGTACTAATTAACTCTTCTGTTTACCAGCATTTGCCTCTTACGTCTTCAGAAAAGCAGTCAAAATATCAAGAATTGTTCACAGATGTGTTCCCTTTGATATCCACTCAATACACAAGTCTCAGCATTTTTCTATACATTTAAAAATAATTTGTAATGTAATTACAGATATCATTGGAAAAGGTTATGAAAGTTATCTAAATATATGTGAACTGTTTGTTTGAAGATACACAGTTTTTTAGTAGCTGTGAAGCCTGGAACTTCTTCAGTTCATGCTACTCCTGAGAGAGAGAGATTTTTTTTTTTTTTT